AGGTTACTATAAACTAAAGGAAGGGAAAGAAAAGCCCCTCATGGGGCTGAGGTTGGACTATGTTCTCATAGGAGTTCTAAACCATTTTTCGTAACTGTCATTTTCCAAGCATCAAAATGTGTAGAAAGTAAAGGGCCTCAAAATATGGGCGTCAGTAGTGTGGCAAATTTTGAACATCACCTCATCTCAGATCTCTGTACAGAGGTACCAAGTTGCAATCACAGAAAGGCAGTTTAAAAACTACTTCATTTGAAATCTTTTCTATTAATGATAAACATTAAGAGGAATAACATAATCTTACATGTCAACAAAACATCACAGTCAGCAGAAAATGCAATTAAGTAGCCAAATAGAACATTTCTATAATGTTTGAGCATTCAATATCTTCCTTGACATTATTTTTTAGTCGGGGCACTCAAGCAGGCAGCAGCCTGTCACTTACAGCCTCTGTCATTTCCCGTTCCAATTCGTTAAACCCTAGGCTTTCCCCAGAAACACACAATCCACATGGAGATTCTTCTGCCAGTCAGAAAAGATCAATTCAAAGGATGCAGAAATTGATATGCAACTCTTGAGTGGGCATGAACGCCATAATAAACTGCTACCTACGCATGGAATTATATTTTCTAGGTTGACAGTGTATGGGCAGAAGCAGCAGGAGCATATGTTTAGATTTTATAGTCGGCGCTTATTTCCTATTGACTGGCTTCTCTTTGGCTGCCAAAAAATAGATCAAGTTCAGAAGCTAAAGCCAAGTTGTCAATTCTTTACCTTTGCCTTTCTCTCTAAAAAGTACCTAAATTAGTAAGGCAGCAAGCCAATTTACACACAGAGGCTTGATTAAAAACTTCAATCATTTGCCTCTCTTTCCTTCCCTGTAATACTTAAAATTCTAGGATTTCAAATTCATAAACGCTTCTATAAACACCACTGATCCAAAAAAAAAAAAAAATCACATGGCTACTGTATAATGTATGCCCCAATGAAAATAACACCCTAACGCAGAAATGAGAGGGCTCAAAATAATGTAGCTGGAGCTCTCCTCTTAACCATGAGTGAGGCACCTGGGATTGCAAAGGCAACATTTAGCTTTCAGAAGCTTGTTGCTGACAAGAGTGGAAAGAAAGGATCTTACATCTTCTTTTCTTTCCTAATTCTAAAGCGGTGAGCAAAATGTCTGCTTTTATTGGTTTGAAGTGGCCTAAACCACTGCCAAAAAATGTGCAAAGGAAATTATATATACACATTCTCCTCCTAAAATGCCACCTCCTTTGTGAAGCTGTCTTGATTCCCCATTCACAATGCATACCTTCCTTCTCTACACTCTATCATAATTTATACCTCCATTAATATTTGCAAATTATTTTCTATGTGAGTAATGTGTTTACAGGTCTCCCTCTCTTACTAAACTGTAAACTTCCACAGCTCAGGGACCCAGTCATTATCTCTCTGGTCCCCACAAGGCCAAGCAGAGTGCTTTATAAATGGTAGGTGCAAAATAAATGTTTGATGAATGAATAAATACGGTGGTGTCAGCTTTATGATGACTAGAAGTTTTGATGATGTTAAGAGTAGTTGCTCCCCAAACCTCAATCTCTTTTCTCTGTATTTGGTATCATGATTATGTGCACTGAAGACAGAGAAAGATTTAGAGATGTCTTCCTGAGAATACATTTTATATTTGATATGTCTATTTTAATAACCCTCTAGTAAACCATCTTTTGGAAAAGATTTCCAGGGTTAAACGGAATTCAATGGGGGCAAGTTTCAATGAGTCAGACAAAAGCTGTCTCTACTTCCTGTGATGCAGTGTGCTGTCACACACCTCAGAAAAAAAGTGTAAAATTGTAAAAGCCAAGAGCATGACTCCACAGGACTCTATTAACCAGGTGCTACCTATATAAAATGATCAAGAAGAGGAAAGAAGGAACCCTGAATGGTCTTTAGTTCTCAAAAAGCAAGGGTCTAACTAGAAACTAATGAGTGACAACTGTTTCAGGTACACAGCGTAAAAAGGAAACACACGTGTCTAAAGAGAGAAAGGTCAACTTTAGGCAATGAAAAGTCATCTCAAAAAAGATCCTCCCCCCACCCCCACCCCCCGCATTTTCATCTGTTTCACATGTTATTTTACTACTGGATACAGGATTTGGCAAAACTAACAACTGGTTATTTGGAAATTTCTAAACAATGATCACTTTCTCCTACAATGTACATTTTTCCATTCCAAAACAAACAAGATACTTGGTTTTGACAGGGACAATTTCCAATCGCTTAGCACTGAAACGCATAAAAGAAAATGGAAAATTGTTTGAATACCATATAGCACTTTTGAGTTTATTAGGCCATTATCCCCAGGGCTGGATTTAATCAAAAGATGAAGAATACAAACTCAAAAGCTTTTAGTTGACAAGAAGTAAGTCTTGGAACTTCCCTGGTGGCGCAGTGGTTAAGAATCAGCCTGCCAAAGCAGGGGACACAGGTTCGAGCCCTGGTCCGGGAAGATCCCACAGGCCACGGAGCAACTCAGCCTGTGCGCCACAACTACTGAAGCCCGCACACCTAGAGCCCATGCTCCTCAAATGAAGCCACCTCTTCCTTACGGTGTGCAGGCTTCTCTGTAAGAGAAGCCACTGCAATGAGAAGCCTGCACACCGCAACGAAGAGTAGCCCCCGCTCACCACAACTAGAGAAAGCCCATGCTCAGCAACAAAGACCCAAAGCAGCCAAAAAAAAAAAAAAAAAAAAAAGTCTTGGGCTTGGGATTTTTGTGTTTGAGCTGTAAGTCAGGTTCACAGAAAAGTAATCAGAAACTAGACTGGCTGGAGATAAGAAAGAGCCTTGAAATGAGAGGTGTGATACCATGGGTTCTACCTGTGACTTGGCCTCTCAACAAGCCTGGGGACCTTGAACAAATTACCTAAACTCTTAACTGTGAAGTTCTTTGATAATTTCAAAAGCCCCTTTTAGCATGATCAATTTTTAATTGTCTAATATTTTTCCTTAAGTCATCAATTAGTTCATTCAACAATATGAGTACCTTCAATGAACATAGTAAAGGACAGTTTCTGCCCTCAAAGAGTGGATAAGTCAGTGGGAAAAGTGAAGGCTTCACCCGCAGTTCCTAGGAGCTCATTCATCCATTTTAGTTCTAAACAAAGGTCACAGAGGAGCCCAGAAGGGAATGTGGATGGAAAGGAGTAGGAGAAACCCCGCAGAAACTCTTGGGAGGAAGAGAGGGTAATTTATTGTCTCAGTCCACCAAGTTTATTGATTACTGTGCTGGGCACTGGGGATCCTGGGGTGACCTGAAGAGATCAGGCCTCTAATGAAGCTTACTTGCATTCTAGATGGTGAAGAAAGAAAAACAGGTTAACAAATAAATGAAATCCAGATTGTGATTAGTTCTAGGAAGAAAACAGAGTGATAATGAGAGAGAATAACTGTGTGTGTGTGTGCATGCGGTGTGGTAGGGGGGTGGACTTCAACATAGAGAAGGCCCTTTGGAGATGGTAGTGGTTAGCTGACAGGGACCTCAAGTGAGCACAGCCAGCACACAGGGCCTAGTGGTTCAGCTAGAGGGAAGCAGGAAAATGCCGAGGCTGGAAAGGGCTGGAGCAGACAGATCATCTGCATGGTTGTTTTAAAGAGCAGTTACTTCTGGAAAGTACAGAATTAAAGCAGTACAGATGACCCTTGAACAACACCGGTTTGAATTACGCGGGTCCACCTACACGTGGATTGTTTTCAATAAATACTACAGTAATGCTACACAATCCACAGCTGGTTTAAATCTTGGATGCCGAACCTCAGATAAGGAGGGCCGGCTACAAATTTACAGGCAGATTTTTGACTGTGCAGACTGCCAGCACCCCCAACCCCCGAGTTGTTCAAGGGTTAGCTGTAGTTCTTGACTAAGGGCCATTTTGTCCCCCAGGGGGCATTTGACAACGTCTGGAGACATTTTGGGTTGTCAAATGATTTGAGGTGGGGAGGGTACTACTACTGAGATTGAGAAAACCTGCACTAAAGGAATTTACTGCCCGAAGTTTGGTTTTAGTCATTAGGTTTTTACAAACTTTAATCTTTTTTTTGTTTTCCTTTACTGTGGAAACAAAGTAAAAACAGGTTTCAGGTGACCCAGTGCTTCATCCACTCTCTCAGGAAACCCCACTGCAGAGGTTCCAGGGGCTCCACAAACCGCTGAGAAGCCCCACAAGATACTAGATGTGTAGCTGAACCCGTTGGAAAGGGACCTGCGGAGACCCACACCCAACTGCTCACTGGGGTTACCTCTGCGCAGGGGACCAGGTTAGGAAGCAGTGTAAGAGGAGCACATATTCGTGTTTTATTTCCATAATTACCAATGAATATTAAAAATAATGCAAAGTGGGGGTCCATACAGGGAAGAAGTGGAGAGATGCCCTCCCGCGCGCGAAACCTCTGTCCTCTGGGCCTCTACCGCCCTTCTGCGTTGACCCGGTCCCTCCAGGCTCTAGCCTCCCCTCCCACAGCCCACACCCCCACCCCCGGCGGGCCCTTGGCCCGCATTAACCCCACGGCCCCGCAGGCTCTAACCCAGGCCCCTCCGGGCCCGCGAAGTCCTCCCCGCCCTCCCTCACCTCGGCGGGCAGGCGTCTCCTCTGGGAGGCTGGCAGCAGGCTGTCCTCGACGTAAGGGTTGCCCAGGCGGAGCAGCCCCCAGCCGAAGGCCCCGTCGGGGTCCGTGTGCGGCGCCTCGAGCTCGGTGCGGGTCCCTCAGGCCCGGGAGCGCCCGGCGAACCCTCGGAAGGGCGGGAAACGCCGGAGGAGAGCCTTGGAGCCGGAGGCCTGACGGCAGGTGGGCAGGGAACCACCTCCTCACGGGCGCCAGGAGGCCAGGCGTGGAGGGCGGGGCTTGCTGGGGGCGCGTTAGCCGTCGTTCGCCTCTTTTTGCATATTCATGAGACCGAGCGAGGCGGGCCGCTCACGCGAGCAGAAGTGATGAATTATTCATGAAGCGTCTCGCCCCGCCCAGGAAGGTCTCGTTGATTATTCATAAGCCAGAGGGAGCGTTTGAGCCGGAAAAGGCCGTTGAGTCCCTCTCACTGGGAGGCGTCGACCCTCTGAGGTGAGGGCTGTCCAGATGCGAGGCATACGGAGAAAAACGGCGCTTGAGCGTCGTTAGTTAGAGTTTTTGGGGTTTTTTTCCTCTTAGGTTATTTTTTTCCCTTTACGTTTCTTTTTCCTCGAGGCTTTAAGTTTGATTTGAAAGTATTTCTGTGAGGCCCGAAGTATTCTGAGGAGTAGCGGGAAGGCCGGGTCTGAGGGGTCTAGGTAGCATTCCCCACCCCCCTCCCCAAAGCTTGATGATGAAAAATTTCACATTTACTGGGGGTGGGGGAAGTGGGGTGCGGGGTTGGAGAGAATTGTACTGGGAACACTCACATTCCCACTATCAAGGTAGCTTTTAAATTGAAATGGTGGAATGGTGGTAGAAAAGAAGGAATCAGTCCAGGTGAGGACGCAGCAGCGGGCAGTCGGCAGCCAAGCTCTTATTCCGGCCGACACCTGCGTGTTGCAACCAGTCGGATCGGGAGCTTCGTGGGGGAGGGCTGTCTATCTTCTAGGTCAGGTTTTCTCCAGCCACTGAGGTGTTCTGTGAGAATCAATGGCTGGCGCACACCAAGAGGTGTGAGTCCCCACGGGATGACCTCAGCTCCTCTTTCGCCTTATCCAGGATTTGCTGTTTAATCTCATGGACTTTAGTTCCCCAAACAGTGAAGGGGAGAGAGTGTCTTGAAACTCAAGATTAACCAATCACCGAAATGTGTTCAATTGTGCAGAGCACTGGACTCGGTGTGCAGTACATCATGTTACTTGGCTGATGAAAATGAAGAAAAAGTACAGTTCTTGCCCGTAAAGGAGTTTTAATCTGATTAGGATAATAATCTAATTTTTCCCCCATTGGGCCATAAATCTCTTGAGGTAGGAACAGTATTTTACATCTTTGTAAAAGCCTACACGAAGACTAGCACGTGGTAGTCGCCCAGTAAATGTTGAATAGAATGAATAATTGAAGTAGCCTGAAGAAGATATTAAAAAACCAAAAGAGCATGAATAAATACCCAGTTAATATAGTGGAAACCATTTACTCTGAGTGAGCACAGAGTAGGGGAATTAACAGGACCAAATGGGATTTGTTAAAATGGAGAATAATAATTTATGGGAGCAAACTCTGAAACCTCTGAGTCACAGGGTGACCTTTAGCAAACCACGTTCCCTTACTGGACTTCACTTTCCTCTTCTTTGTACTGATAGTTTTATATTGTACATTTAAATCTATGATCCATTTTGAATTAATATTTGTATATGGTGTCAGATTTAGGTTGAAGGTTTTCAGGGTTTTTTGGTCTATGGATGTCCTGTTGTTCCAGCACTGTTTGTTAAAAAGACTATCCTTCCTCCACTGAATTGACTTTTCTTTAAAATGAAAGGATTGGATTAGTTTTAGAGGATGTCTCCTCCCCCTTCCAACTCTGATTTAAGCCCATTTATGTTGACAGGTACTTCCTTTGAGTAAAGCTATCTCCTTCATACCATACACATGTATGGAAGGTCATCTGGCTGCATTTTAGAATCTAGCTGTTGGACATTATACATTTGATAGACAAGGGATTTTCTTGTTTTAAAAAAATGGTTTTGGAAGATTGGGAAAGATGGGTGAAAAGTATTAGGAAATCAACTATTATTGTCTTTGGGCAAATGTAATGAAACTTTTTTTTGTGTGTCACTCAGAATGCCACCTACACCGCCCCCAAAAAAAAGTGGCTTAGGCCTTCAGAAACTAAACAACAGCTGGTTAATTTTTATCTGAATCTTGGATTCACACATAAAAGGGTAAAAGAGTAATTGTGCCACCATTTTAAATAGGGCAATTGTGATGCAGGTCAAGAAGTAAGCCCAGAGTGAGTCTTATCTGAGAAAACACAGAAATTTTGTTTTTCTCAAGAAGATCATAATCCTTGTCACAGAGTAGACATATCAAGCATAAGAGTGAATGTATTGATGCCCTGTGAAGTTTCAGATGTTTGTGGATCCAATATACAAGCAAATATATAAGTCAAAGACATTTGGAAGTTAAAGTTCTGTTCTTAAAACCCATAGTTATGAAATATCTCTTAAGTTTTAGATAATGAGTCAGAACAAGGTGATAAAAAATTATCAGAGTAATTCTCTGAGAGTACATGATCTGTAGAGTCATACCTCCTGGGGCTGTCAGCTTGTGAGCTTTCAAAATTAAGCAGAGTTTGTACTTGAATAGGAGACCTCCACAAAACACCTGCTCAAAGGGAAAAAGACAGTAGCAACAGAATAGTTAGAGGTTGAAAGGAGCCTGGCTATTTAAAATAATTATTTAGATTTTTTTGCCTTCCTGAAGCCAGTTTATCTCTGGACACCAAAAAGAGACCCTACCATGTTTAGAAATAAGCAAGCAAGCCCAACAACTAAGAAGGTGCTGGTAATGCAGTATTTTAGATGGAATGAAAGCAAGGGGAATTTCATTACGCAGAGTCATTGTAGAAAAACCCCTAAATTGTGAGTCAAATTTTCTTGATTTTTATTCTCAGTTCTGACTGACCTTGAGTAAGTCAATTGACTTCTCTGGACCTTGATTTTCTCATCTAGAAAATTAGATGTTTGGACTAGATGACATTTAAAGTTCCTTCTACTTCTAAAATTCTGTAATTCTATTCTAGACCCTTACTTTTTCCTTGTTCATGTAGTACTTCTCTATTGATTCAGCAGATAATTTTTGAGCACCTACCTACTTTATTCCACTACTGTCATGGTGCTAAGGATTCAAGAATGAGCTAAACTAGACACAAAAGTTTATATATGATTCCATTTATATTAAATGTCTGGAATAAGCAAATCCATAGAGATGAAAAGTAGATTAATAGTTGCAAGGAGTCAGGTGAGGGGAAAATGAGGTGTGATTGCTAGTGGGTATGGAGTTTCTTTTAACGTAATGAAAATCTTCTGAAATTAGATGGTAGTGATGGTTGCAAAACTTCATGAATATACTAAAACCTACTGAATTGTACCTTAAAAAAAAAACTTTAAAAATATAGAATGAACTAGGCAGATACAACTTTGCCCTCACATTATCTCACAGCAGGGTGGGGTGGATACATAAATGCAATGATATGGAATATATTACAATGGGCACATAACCCAGACTTGGTGGTGAACCAGGGAATAATTCCTCGAGAAACTTGTACTAAGCCATGTCTAGAAGATGAGTAGGAATTGGAAAGGGAGGAGGATGTTTCAGGCAGAAGGAACATTACAAAAGCCTGAAAGCTAGAGAGAATATAGGTTAATTAAAGTAGATAAGAATAGCTGATGCATAAAAGTGTAAGGGAAAATGGTTAGAGATGTAGCTAAAGAGGCATGAGCCAGATCTTGAGGCTATGGTAAGGAGTTTGGATTTCATCCTGAGGACAGTGGGGAGCCACTGAAGTATTTCAGTTGAGGAAGTTACATAGTCAAGTTTGTACTCTAAAAAGAATACTCTGGCTGCAATACAACGAACAGACTGGAGAAGGGTAAGACCAGTGACAGGCAGACTGGTGGTTGAAGAAATCCAGTCAAAAGATGAGGCTGATCTGATCTGAAGCATAGATGACAACAATGTGTATAAAGTGAGGAGTGGACACTTGAGAAAGGAGAATGGATGTGGGAATGAGGGAGGGAACAGGGTTGAGTCATAGTTTTTAGGCTTGAGCATCTAGGTATTTGATGTTGTCATTCACTTAGCTAAGGTACAGACATAGGTTTCGGGCAAAAGAATTCACATTTGGGTATGCTGGGAACATCAAATTGGAACTGGCTCATAGAGGTATAGATCTGCAACTCCCCAGTGAAACCTAGGTTGGGGGAATACATCTAAGAGTCGTTAGAATAGAAATATAATTGAAACAACAAGAAAGTATTTGTTCATCCAGGGAGTGTGTTTAGAAGTTAAAAAAAGAAAAAAAATCTCCTAGGACAGAGCCCTTGAAGAACACCAAAAGCTAAGAAAGGGTCAAGTTACACTCAGAAATGAAGGTTATAATCTGAAGTCAACAAAAGATACCTTGGAATCATTAAGGACCAAAGGACTATTAGGTGGTTTCAGTCTCATGTAAAATCTTGTAAAAGAGTGTCCCCTAGTGCTGCTCTGAAGAAATAATTTGAGAGAAATTATTACCTGTTTATAATCTCTATCACCACCTTGTGGCAGTGTCCTTAAATAATTCTGCCCTCCTTTATTTGCAAAATCTTCCAGAATCTTGCATTAATTTGTACACAAAAACAAGTCACAGGCTATCCTGAGTGATCCAGAATGGAATTTCTTTAAGTGGGTTATCTACAGATATTTTGGTCAGAACTCCATAAAACCTTGACAAGAAACTACAATATAAATTAAGTACTTTGAAAAGAAAAAGGGAAATTTACTTCTTTTTTATGTTAGTGAAGCAACAGAATTGAAAACTATGTATTTTAAATATTAATACTTTTTATTGTGGAAAAATGTACATTACATAAAATTCATCATCTCAGCCATTCTTAAGTGTATAATTCAGTGGCACTAAGTGCATTCACAGTGTTGTACAACCATCACCACTACCCATTTCTAAAAATTTTTCATCATCCTGAACAGAAACTCTGTACTCATTGAATTCCCCATTCTTTCTACCCTCCAGCCCCTGGTGACTTCTATTCTATTCTCTGTTGCTATGAATTTGACTACTTTAGGTATCTCTACCTCATATAAGTGGAATCGTGCAATATGTATCCTTTTGTGTCTGGTTTATTTCACTTAACATAATGTTTTCAAGTTTATCCATGTTGCAACATGTATCAGAATTTCATTCCTTTCTAAGGCTGAATAATATTCCATTGTATATACCACATTTTAAAAATCCATTCAACTGTTGTTGGACACTTGGGTTGTTTCCACCTTTTGGCTATTGTAAATAATATTGCTGTGAACATTGGTGTGTAATCTGTTTGAATCCCTCCTTTCAATTCTTTTGAGTTTAGACCTAGAAGTGGAATTGCTGGGTAATATGGTAAATCTATTGAACTTTTTGAAGAACTGCCATACTGTTTTCCACAGCAGCTGCACCATTTTACATTCCTACCAGCAGTGTACAAGGATTCTGATTTTTCACATCTTCACCTCCACTTGTTATTTTCCACTTTTTTGAATAGCCATCCTAATAAGTATGAAGTGTAAACTTTAACTTTTGAGTTTACTTTGAAAATCAGTTACACATGAAGTTAATTCAAGAAGTATTTTTGAGCCCCTGTTATATAGAGAGCACTGTTACACTCTGAGGGAATAACAAGGATGAGTAAAATATACTGTTGAATCTTTAGGGGATTTACAATTTATTTTTCCCCTCCAAATGTATTTGGGAACAAGTAAGTCAACTTAAATTTTTATCGGGTGGTTGGAAAAACTAATCCAGAGATCTTACTTTATAGAAAATTGGTAGTGGAGATAAAAATGTTTATTAAACTAATTTTCAAAAGAATACAATCAAATGCTAATTATATAGTTCTTCGGAAAATTCACAATAAGGATTACGTTAGGCAAGGTCTCTAATTTTTTTTTTTTTTTACAGGTTAGACTTGTTAAAAGAATCCTTGATAGATTGCTATAATGGCCACTGCTCAGCTCTCTCATTCTATCAGAATTCACAAGGCACCTAAGGTATTTATTAAGAATTAAAAGAAAATCAATGACTATTTAGTGAGTTAGTTCAGAATCATGACTTTAATCTTTGGTGTTTTTTTAAACAGCAGTTTTGTCAGTTAATCGGCATATAATATTCTGGCAGAGTATGTCTACATTTTAACTGGCTAATGCACTGAGGATGTTCAGGAAATTAGAATAGATTTCTACAAAGTAACTTATTGGGTGCTTGTTTCATGTTTATATATTTAGACTTTGTAGAGCAAAAGAAATCAGAAACAAAAAAAGATGTTTAAAGAGAATGGCTGTTTGTTAGACATTCACTTCCTGACACAATTAGGACACTTCTAATGCACACTATGATGTAATTATAATAACTGGAGGAGAGAGCACTTAGAGAAACTAGGATCCTGGGGCCCTGGGGAAGCATGCCAGGGCCAGGCAACCTTGCTGGGTTCACCTGGGCAAATTTATCTTGTCCCATGACATTCATTAATGAACATTCATTGATTCATTGAGAGCTTAATATTATATAATATATATGTAATGCTGTGTTATTCTCTGAGAGAATTAAAAAAAAAGAATCTTCACATTCTAGAAGTTTATAATCTGGTTAGGGAAATAAGATTTACAGGAGGTAAGTCAATATACAAAGCAGTATATGCATTAAATATATGTGAAAAGAGTAAAGCAATACAAATTATAGGAATTCAGAGATTTTATATAGACTGGAATGGTTTGTATATTCCTCACGAAGGAGATAGGACTTAAGGTGGACCTTAATTAATGAAAAGGATTAGGAGAGAGGAGAGAGAAGAGAATTCCATGAGGAAAAACTAGCATATGCCTTGGCTCAGAGTAAGAAATGAGCATGGCATGTTTCAGAGAATAACAAAGAATCCATCCTTACTGTAGTGGAGTGTCATCATGTTGGACAGAAGTAGGAAATAAAATTGAATAGGAACTTTGGGGACAAATTAATGTGGATCTTAAAAGCCAGGCTAAGGAATTTATGCTTTATTCTGTAATCAATGGAAAGTCAGTGGTTTCACCAGGACAGTGAGTAAAATAATGTTTTAGAAATATTAAGCTGTAGCAGAGGCAGGGAAGATTGAAGTTGAAAGAGAATTAGGGCAGAGAGAAAGCAGTCATCTTTCTGGCTCAAATTCAATATACTCACCAAGCCAACTTCTGATCTCATTGCATTTCCACTTAGGAAACCCTTCCTGGGGTGAAAATGCTGAGCTGGGTATATGAATTGCAATCAGCTTGGCAGTTATTTTTCTCACTGTAAATTAACAAATTGACCTTTTGATATAAACAGATCTTTGTAGTTTGGACTGCATGAGCTACTCCTCCCAGTAAATTTTAAGTGACTGTATGATTTTGCTATTTAATACTTAAAACAACAATAATAATAACTATAGAAGCTAACATTTATTCAGCACTTACCATGTGCTGGGCACTGTGCCAAGGGCTTTATATTATTATTTCACTTAAACCTTGAAATAAGGGGAAAACTGAAGCTCAGAGAAGTAAAGTAACTTGGCGTAGGTCATGTAGCTTGACAGCTGAGCTGTCAAACATTACTTATATCATTAGCACAATTTCTTATTGAAATAATTTATAATAGTGTTTTCTATTATCAAGCCACAGTATTTTCATGTATTAGACATTTATAAAAACGTGAATGATAACCCTTAAAGTATTAGATCAACTGAGCTGAGAAAAAAATCCCTGGAGTATAGAAAAGTAACAATTCTAGAGGCCTCTTCCAATCATTGATCTTCATTATTACAAATGGCCTTTTAGATTCTATATTTAAAGTAAACATCTTTATATTTTTAGGTTATTTAATTTTACAAGTGGTTATTACTCAAGTATTGCCTCTAAATTTTGGCATGTTTTCAATAAGTTATTATACATGTATACCATGCCAGCTATTACCCAATTACCCCAAAAGAACCTTAATTTCTCAGGATCTATGGGCACCAAAAGCAATTTTCTGTAAAATTTTACACACATACACATACACACACATGCATATTACATACCTAATTCTCCTTCAACGTTAATCTTTCCTACTTCTGCTGTAGCTTAATATTTGTAAAACAATTATTCTACTCACTCTCCTAATCAAACCTGCTGCTTTTCCACTCGTTACAGAATAAAGCATAAATTCCTTAGCCTGACTTTTTTTTTTTTTTTTTTGTGGCACACGGGCCTCTCACTGCTGTGGCCTCTCCCGTTACGGAGCACAGGCTCCGGACGCGCAGGCTCAGCGGCCATGGCTCACAGGTCCAGCCACTCCGCGGCATGTGGGATCTTCCCGGACCAGGGCACGAACCCGTGTCCCCTGCATCGGCAGGCGGACTCTCAACCACTGTGCCACCAGGGAAGCCCTTAGTCTGACTTTTAAGATCCATAATAATTTGTCCCCAAAGTTCCTATCATACATGCAAGAATAATTTTATGTATCTTTTTAACAACTGAATATAATATGGTTTGACAAAATGATGAACTGATAATTCATTTTCGCTATGTAGTGTACCAAAGAGGAAGCAAGCTTACATTGCAAAATCATGTCTAGAATGTCCTGAAGACATTCTAGAACCAGATATAGATAAAGATTTTGGGGCGTTCTCTTTCATCTAAATGCATATTTGTGGGTAGTACCTGCCTCTAAGTAACAGAATTATTAAAACTTCAACAGTTGAAACTGTGCAGTATAGTAAGAAAGACCTCTGAATTTGAATGAGGTAATCAGAGATTTACCATTCTGACTTCTAATATCATAGATTAGCTTCACCTGCTTTTGTACTTTATATAAATGAAATCATACTTTAGCACTCAATTGTATCAGGTTTCTTGCACTCAGCTTTATCTGTGAGAGTCATTTATACTGCAGAACTTTTGCTTAAGCAAAGCACAAAGATGTGGAAATACATGGTAGTAGAATAGTAGATGAATAGTAGTTCCACATGGCTAGGGAGTAGGGTGCATAGGAGGGGATAAGGGAGGAGGGGCAGAAGGGAGGGGTGGGAGATGAGACAGGAAAGCTAGGCAAAGATAAGATTTTGACAGTTCTCAAACGCTACACTTGAACTCTATCCTGTATGAACACTGGGAGTGTCATGATAAGATTTGTATTCTTTAAAGTTAATAATGTTGGCAGTATGAAGGACAGATTGAATGAAAGAAACTGTTAGCAGGGAGGTCAGAGGCAACTACAGTATTAAAGGGGAGAAGTGACCATGTCCTGAGCCAAGGCAGTGGCAGTGAGAAGAGAAAGGAGAAAACAGATTTGAGAACTCTCCTAGAGAGGATTAATAGGACTTTGTGATTGGATATGGGGAATGGAGGAGAGAGAGAAGCCGAAGATGACTGTACTTCTAGCTTGGATGATTGGAGTGGATGCTGATCCATTTGTCTGAGAATGAAACTTGGGATCAGGTTTCAGTCAGGGTGATAGAGATAAACTGAGTTTGAGGATGTTATGGCAACTGAGAGAGAGGAGAGTGTGGGCAAAAGTGTTAAGCACTGCAGAGGAGCTTACATAGTACGAGGACCGAGATGAGGTCAATGATAGGATGTACTTGGTGACTTTGTAGAGAATAGTATAGAACAGAGCGGGTGGAAGACAGATTGCAGTGGGTTCCGAGGAGTGTATGAAAGGGAAGATTATATAATCATAGTAAAACTCCCCATTTTGCTTAAATCCATGGGTCATTGTAAAATAAATTATATCAGTCTTGAATTACTTGGATAACCGTCTCTGCCTTTCTTCTTTGCCTTGCCAGTGAAGATCTAATCTGACGCAATATTCAAAGCCCAGTTTCCTTTTGATTATCTATAAAGGTATCAGATTTGAGGTCTTGAAAAATCTTTCCATTTTACTTGTGGTAATGGCATGATGGGCTGAATATATTAAAGAATACTAATCTTTTTCATTTTCCCCCCCTCCCAGGAAACAGTTTTCCCATGTCAAATAATTAATGAGCATGAGTCATTGATAATGGTGAAGAAACTTTTTGCTACTTCTATCTCATGTGTAACATATCTAAGGGGCCTGTTTCCAGAGAGCTCTTATGAAGAAGGCCATTTGGATGGTAAAGTTTAACTAAATGGTTACTTTGGCTGGTGGAGCCCTTTTCCTCTATTTGGCAGGAGTAAAACTTTACTTTCTCACAGAGTGTGCTAATTTCAAGTCATGGGTTCTTTAAGATCAATTTGCTAATTCATTTTCCATTTTAATTTCACTATGTTTAGTGGTTTTACTTATAGGAACCATTAGTTCCTGGCTAATACCAAATCACCGAATGAAGAGAAAAGAAATATGTATGGACAAGCCCAGTAATTCTAAACTGTACCTACAAAAGCAGCAGCCAGATTGAAATCTACTTGGGTGCTGTACATTTGCACTATTTTGTGTCTCAACTGAATTTTTTTCTTTGAGGTAGACTTTGGCCTTGAGGAATTTTAATTGAGAAGTTTAATTCTTTCTGTTAACATATACAAATATGTGGAAAATATGCATACCCATGCCAAACCCATTTGTTGATTAACATGGATATGTAGACAATTATTATTCTAATCAGCTCTGGTTTTTTCTTAATTTTCTGTCTTTTCTACTTTTCTTCCTTTTATTTCTTATGTCCTTAAACTCATGATCTCATTTCCTTGTATTACAAGCCGTTTCTGTCTCCTTTCCTTCTCTTGTATTAAAAAGAATGTACCTAGGACTCTTCAATTTTTCAAAAATCTTTTTGTTTAAAAAGATGGATTGTGATAACAATTCAGAAAATTTTGCTGATTTGTCATGAAAGTGGGAAAGTATCATTTGGAAAATAAATATAGAGGGCTACAAGTTTCCTTGTAAGATGTTATTTTTCAAAATCTAACTTTACTTTAAATTTCTCACATCTGTATTTAATGATATACTTAGGCCTCATTCCAATTTAATTTTCTTAAACATTTGATTCTCTACATGAGCATCAATGAAATGCATGTGTGCTATAAACACAAAAGCATTATATTTGCAACTGTGACAGCCTCATTTGTGTTATGTCCTCTTTTGGTCTATAGGATATAAATCTGTAATAGTGAAAATGTTTATATGTAGCATATAGTTGCAGTTTCTCCTCTTGTTTGGAATATAGAATTGGAAAAAGACATATTTGGAGTAATTAACTAAGCGCTTACTGTGTGCCAATCACTAACCTGTGCATGGAGGGCAATACCATTGTTTATAGCTTTATTTTTTGTGACAGTTTTAATGGAAGTTATATATCTCCCTCCCAGTGTTTGTACTTAAAGTAGCATATATCATAAAAATGCCCAGTACTCCTAAGTTGCTCTCTTTTTGGCAATCTCTAAATGTTATACCAATATGGAATAATTTTCATATCTCTCAATAGCAATAGAGGTAACATCAATTTTAGGATAGGAAAACAATCTGAAAAGGTGAAGTGATTTATACAAAGTCATACATGAATCAGTAATTGATTTTAGACTGATCTAAACCAAAACTTTTAATGTGATTTTCTTATTCTTCCTTCCTATAGTAAGGTAGTCGAATTTCAGATGGAAATTAATATTTGAGAATAATCCATGGAAACATTTTTCATCTTTTTTCTTTCATTGAGAGAGAGAGAAATACCAGAGAAGTGATTTGAGACTGAGGTGTACGTTTTAAATTGGTTGATGGAGATGGTCTCAGTACTACCTTATGATAACTTAGAATTCAGCAGAAGCAAAGAAGTGACACAAATTGATTTTGCAACCAAGTCAGTTGTGCTACATTGTAGAAGGGAAGACTGCTAATCTATAATAAAAATGGGAACTAAGTCAATTATCAACATAGGATTTATTTTTAAATTAGATATTTAGTGATTCAAAATGTTTTTATAAGCTATAAACTAAGTAAGTTATAAAAATAAAATCATGAAAGGAAATACCCTTATTTAGTATGGACAATTTTAGTGCAACAGACTGTTTCTATTTTTGTAGACCTCAGTTTAAAAATCCTCCGAGAAGATAAAAAATGTCCTGGGTCACTGCATATTATCAGGTGGTAAGTAATTGAAATTCCACCAAAGTTGAACAACATTATTTTTATCATAGCTGAAATTACCCATAAGACTTTATTTGGTAAGATCATTTCCTTAAAACTATTGCCTTCTTCCTTTCTTTCTTTTCATCTTCTTTTTTTTTAATTTCCTAGAAATGTGTAACAATTATTCAATATTATTTTAAGATACTGATTTAGTTTTGTTTTTGAAGAAAATGGACTTTATATAAGAAAGAAAAATATCAATCAAAATTTGATTATTCATCATATGCATGTCAGTGTCCTAAACATTATGGGAGGCCAAAAGAAAAGCAAGATGTGATTCCCTACCTCAAAATTGCTTACGTATTATTTATAAAGTACTATCAACATATTAAAAGATATAGGAATTTCTAAAAAATGATTAAATGGGAAAGGTGAAATGGTTATCAATTTAATGTATTTCAAAGCAAGAAACAAATCAGTTTTGTACTTGGGATTCTTTCTGGCTTTGCATCTGGTCCAAATTGACACCAAACATTTATTTCTTGACAGGATTCGAGGTTGTTTTGATGCTTTGGAAAAGAGATACGTAAGAATGTTTTTAAATTTACACCAGGATCAAAGACTCATCCTTTATCCCTTTAAAAGAAAAATTTAGCCTTTATTTTATTGTTGTGTTTTAACAGTATACCAGTTCCTACATTTGCATTCATGAACCAGTTTCTTTTTATTTTGTGTCTTTGTTGTCCTGTTGATGTCTTGTTTACATCAATTAGAAATGAAACCCTCATTTTTCTCTTTTACATACTCATATCTTTTTGATCACAGAATTTCCTCTGAAGTCACTGGAAGAGATCCACAGGATGTGGGAAAGGGCAGACAAGAATCTGGCATTTAGCACATTGAACATGTTCAAAATAGTGGCAATTCAATTTGCAGATATGAAAGGAAAAAATGGACTTGAATAATCGGTTTTTATTCTATGTCAGTTATTTTGTTAGCTATGTTTGGCACATGTATATAACCTGTTCCCTCAAAATAGCTAGTATTGTAGCTTGAATTTTTTTTAATGCAGCTTGAATTTTAAGTGCATTAGATTTTTCTTGCTGCCCAAGACAGCTATGAAGCGTGTAAAAATTAGAGGCACTAGTCCTAGTTGAAGAGATAATATATAAATGAACTTCCCACCACTGCTTTCTCCTTTCCCCATCTCTGTCTTCTTTTTACTTCTCAATTCCTATTCCTTTAAAAAACCTTAAGGTGAGTAAGCCTTACATTGGATTATTTAGTTGCACTGATATATTTCCTTTTTCATTGAATAGTTATTACTTATGATTTATTCAACACTGACTGGGGGGTTGAGGGATACAAAAATAAAACAGATATGAGATTGTGCACACAAAGAGCTTATAGTCCATGGCAGAAGATAGATGACATGCATGCACGGCTGATGATCAGCTATTTCACACTGGCATAGCTGTACCTGTTGTTAAAATGTTGAAGTACTCTATATCCAGTGGTAAATGGTTGCTTCTCTGAGATCCCAAATGACTCCCACCATGTCCGCCCCTTCACCCCACCAGTATCTCTTCTGGGATGTCCCTAGACTGTTCCACAATCTAGCAACTAAAGGGTTGACACCTGGCCCAGGGGGGAGCTTCCAGGAACCCAGCACCAGGGCTAAGTTGGCATCTTTTCTGATTAATCAGTACCTGTGCCATGTTGGGTTGTTAAATTTTGATTTTTTCATATCAGTTTGATATTTCATTAGAAAGTGATGCATACCAAAGGCAAGATATTGATCATGTGCAAAGGAAGTATGGAAAAGGAGGGGTTATATCCAGTGAGGGACATGAGGGAAATCTTTGGGAGAAAATGACTTTGAAGGCCCTTAGTATTTAGACAGGTTGAGAGGGGAAGAAGGTCCTCACCAGTACACCGAACAGCACTCATTCATTCTCCTTTGTCCGTTCATTTAGCAACATTTCTTGAGTGTCCATCTTTGAGGGGCAGTGAAATATAGTTAAGAGCTCAAGGTTTAGAAGAAGTCAGTCTGAAGTGAATCCTAGTTCTGCCACTTAATACCTGTGTGATCTTGGCACATAACCTACCTCTTGGTAACTTAGTTTCTTTACAATAATAATAAAACGAACCTCTTAGGGTTGTTTGAGAATTAAATGAGTTAATAATCTAAAGCAGTAGTTTTCAAACATTAGCTTGCATCAGAATCACCTGGAGGGCCTGTTAAAACACACATTGCCAGGTTCCACCCCAAAATTTCTGGTGTAAGAATTTTCATTTCAGACAAATTCCAAGTGATGCTGAGACTGCTGGTCTAGGGACCATACTTTCCAAGGCATCACTCTCACCATTGCTCACCATGTTCAAGCACACAAGCATTCGAGAACATGCCAAGTGCCTTTTACCTTTGTACATATTGTTACTTTTGCCTGCAAAATTTTCTTGCCTACCCCACACCCTTTATCTGGCTAATTCCAATTTATCCTTCAGGTCCCAGCCTAAATATTTACTTCCTCGGGGAGGCCTTCCCTGACAACCACCCCCCCCACCCCTCTCCCAGCCTAGACTGTTCATCTGTTTAATGGTCACAAGCACTCAGTGCTGCTACTTCATAGCAATTAACACAATTGTAATGATGTACCTATCTGTGTGCTTTTTTTGTTCTCTCCTGCTGGTCTGCATGTTCCCTGAGATCAGGGGCCATTTCTATTTTTGAATGAATGAATGAACTATTAATTAAATAATTAATATAAATTAGAGTGTTACTGTGTAGTCTGAAAATCAATTGTATGCAGTAACCAAAATGGCCACACAGTGTCACTAAAGTTTTAGTCTTTTGGGTGAAATAGGTGAATAATTTGATACAAAATTATGGTCCTGAAATTTTCTCATTTGTATCCTAGTTTTTAATAGGCTTGCTTATATCTCTATCTCTGCATCTATATATTCCATTATTCTTCCAAGCAGAATCTGTTTATAGTAATGTAGTTGTAGGGAGGGCAGAGATTTTGTAGACTTATATCAGACTTAAAATTTTTTATTTTAGATTACTTTCAAAACGCAAACTGTTTTAGAGATGCTTATGGCATAATTAACTTTTAGTAATAATGAATTATTTTGTATATCTTTTGCCTCCCAAGCTAGAATGTAACTTATAGAGACTAAGGATAGTTATCTTCTTTTTTTTTTTTTTCCATCTCTCCCCTCCCCAGCAGAACCTTGGGTATGTAATAGAGACTCACTTGAATGGATGAATAATTAGTATCCATTTTTCTGACCTTCTGAATAGTATTTTTTTCCTACTCAGATCTTTTAATTTGAAAGTCATATTTTAATTAGACTTTATTGAAAATAATAATAATATAGGTGCAAGTGTATAGTAACAATAGTTTTCTTTTCTCTTGAAGCTACACATGGCAGTACTTACAGTAAGTGCACATTTAAAGACCAAGCCTCTGTCTCTGCTTCATTGTCTTTTGGCAAGTGAAATAGTAAAACGGTACTCTCCCCCATCCTCCCTGAATTTCATTGTCTGTCCTATGCATTTTGGAAGAAAAAAAAACACTCTATCAGAAGTTTTAATAAAAAATCACAGTCTACATATTTCTTTGGCATATTATAATACATGAGGAAATATATAGGCTATACTATCTGTTTCATCTATTGGCTATTAGAATTTCATTTTCTGAGTTAATTTACAGACTCAAAGCTCTTTGTTTTTGAAGTTTTACAGACTTTTTTGAAGCTTTGTATACTTCCTGGTATATAACACGGTATATGTAGTTAAGAATAGAAGGAAAATGAGAAGATACTATTTTTTTTTTTTTTTTGCGGTACGCGGGCCTCTCACCGCCGCGGCCTCCCCCGTTGCGTAACACAGGCTCCGGACGCGCAGGCTCAGCGGCCATGGCTCACGGGCCTAGCCGCTCCGCGGCATGTGGGATCCTCCCGGACAGGGACACGAACCCGTGTCCCCTGCATCGGCAAGTGGACTCTCAACCACTGCACCACCAGGGAAGCCTGAGAAGATACTATTGAGAGTCTTAGATATATGAGTTATTTAAAAAATTTTAAACCATAACAAATTGCTGTGACTGTAGTGCAGTCGCAGTAATCATAAATATCTGGTTATCAATTTCCTTATAATCAGGGTTCACAGAATGCTCTAAAGACTCTCTATGTTCACAAAATAAGAGCTTATTCTATCTCTAGCTTGAAATATATATCTCAAGATACATATATATATATTTCAGTACTCAATTAATATAGCACAAATTGAACTCTTCACATAGAAAATGTATTCTGTGGGGAGTAATCTAGTTTCCGAAATTAAATGCTGTTTATTTTTCCTTAAATAGCTTTACACAAATCCGAAGGAACCTGAGGTAAGAACACATAAAGAGATGGGCAGTATATTATATTTAAATATGTTTACCTGAGTTGAGGCCATAAATTATATCACTAGACTACCATATGAACAAAGTAACTTGTAGTGAGCTTTTTCAGTGTGTTTTATTATAAATGTCACCAATTCTTTATTATGAGATTTAAAAAACTACCTAAGGGTATTGGGAAAAAAACATTGAGTAGAACTGAGCGTATTCCCTAACACGTTAACAGTAAGAATCTGTATGAAAACTACCTTTTATTTTTATTTTAAATGATGCTGAATCCTTTCTATTTCTGACCTTTGTGGCATAATGCTAAACTTTTTTTTTTATGGATAACTTAATTCTCTCCCTTCTGACATTTTCATAGATTTTTAAAGCTTTACCTCTTTACTTCTCTCTCTAAATTTCTCCCCTCTGCTTATTGAATCCTACTCATCCTCAACACCAACTTATGTTTAAAGCTTTCATGAAAGCCTCTTTGGCTGTTTTGTTCACACTAATTTCTCCTTTCTCTAAATTCCTTTCTCCAGCAGGACCTCACAATTTAACACTCTTAATTAATTCATAAAGATTACTTTATCTCCCTAACCAGATTGTGATTCCTGAGGACAAATCTTGTCTTCTTTTCGATCTCCCAGTGTGAATTCATAGTCCTGGATACGTAATAGTAACTTGTGCTACTTTGAATGACAGCTGTGGCAGTGGCACAAATGGAGGGAGAAGCCCTTCGTTCTTTCTTCTCATTCTATCCTCTATTTTCCTCCCAGCTTTCTTTCCTCTTCCCTTTCCCTTTTGCTTGCTTTCAATTTTCCTTCCCTAAACCTATGGATTTAGCCTAACTGGTAACCTTCACAACTAAGTTAAGTGTTTTTTAGTCTTTAATATCCTTTCTTCTTTGGCAAGATTATAAACAGCTGTTTGAGCAAGGCAAAAGAAAACTGGTGCATGAGGTGGGTAACAATTCCTCAATGCCCAAGCTAAACCTATTTTTATCTTTGTCTCTAGTTTAGTTTCAATTTTTTTGTTTTCAGTAGGTTTGAGGGGAGCTTTCCCAAAGTAAGATCTCCTGATAAATTGTTAATAAATTGGTCATTTCCTTAGTGCAATAAATTATTATGTTTTCTTATGCATGTAAAACTCATCTGAAACTAATGGTTTTGAGGTAGTGAAATGCTGAGGAAATTGGGCTATCTACAGAAAAATATTACAGAGTGGGAAGAAAACTGTTAAATGAGTTTTGATGCAGGCAATATACATAATAATAAAGTTAGAAAGCAAAAGCTTATTATATAAGTTCTGAGCTATCATTTATGACCCAGAAAAAAATATTTTGAACTCTTACATATTATTTCCTATAGCAGTGATCCCTAACCTCTGTGTTCACGGCACACTCTTGATTACTAGAAAATTTGGTGGCATGTTTAAGGGTATTAAAAGACTTAAAAGGACACCAAATGTGTCAGCAATAATTATGGTATAACTATGGCACAGCAATGTTCATAGTGCCTGAAAGTATCCATGGGGTTACACTGTTTTATGGTTGCTCTTTAGCACCAAGTCACTGATAGAACTATTTACCTCTTTGATCTTTTTCTTCTATGTACTCGCAAAACAGCATTCTCACATAAAGTCTTTCTTTGGCATTTATCTGATATGGTGCCATGTTTCTTGACTCATACTGGTAGAAGTATATATTGTCCCCTAAGCAAAACTGCACAAACAGTAACAACATTAATATTTACCTGAAGCAAAAATGCATTTTACACATGGACTAAAATTTGCAGCACTCTTGTGAAGAGTCTGTCATGGTACACCAGTTGAGAACCTCTGTCTTAAATAAGTTTGCTTATCCAGTCCAGAGACCAACAGAGTTTTGGGCATTGCACAAAGCTGTGGTGCTTCTGCACTTGAGGCTTTGTTCTGGTTGCTCCATCTTAAGAAAGAGATGAACTGACGAAAGTAACTAAAGTAGTGAAGAGGGCTAGTGTGTCTTTTCTGCAGATACACACTACAGAATGGGTGGAGGGTATTAATAAGATGTGTAAGCCAAAATGTAAATATGTTAAGGAAATTTTTACACAGTTTAATGCATGATAGACCCATAAAGAATTGCTATATTTGAATATTGTGAGGATTCAAATCCTACCATTTCACCATCTGTTTTTCTTTTTGCCTGTTAGAGGTGGTCAACACCACTTTTAATAGACTGCTTCAGGAACTGAACTATAGATGGTCCCTGCTTCTAGCCACAATATACTTTTAGATACTTTGTTTTTAAAAAAATCCTGTAGGATGAAATCCTAATTGAATGTGAACTCTATCCTGGCTGAATATTTATTCATTCAGCAAGTATTAATTGGGTTCCCCTTATGTGCCTGAAACACAGGAGTTAATGGGTAGACAAGGTCCCTGCTGTCTGGAAGCTTACGTTCTTATGAGGGAGGATAAACAATAAACAAGTAAACAAAACTTAGCAAAACAGTTTCAGATAGATCGTAATGCTATGAAGAAAATAAAAGTTGGTATGCTGGAGAGTGCTAAGGTGGGAATGGAGGAAGAAAGATTGGAGGGCAGTCCCTGGAAAGCCTCCCTGAGGGGCCACTGTTTGAGCTGAAACTGAAGAAGAGTCACTCCATGCAGGCCTGTGAGAGGTAATAGCATGTGACTGCAGAACAACACAGTAGTTAACATTGCAGGCGCTGGAGTCAAATCCCAGCTCTACTACTTACTAGCTTCATCTATAATGATGTAATACCTACTCTGAGTGTGGCTATGTAAGAATGAATAGATGTAGAGCATTTAGGGAAGTGCCCAGATATCATGATTATTATCATCAACTGGAGACAACATTTTCCAGAGTACAGTTGTGTAAAGGCCCAAAGGCAGGAAGGCATCTTGTGTGTTCATGGACAAAGAGGGTGCCCTGAGCCTGAAGCTGAGTGAGTGGGAGGGAAAGAGGCAGGAGATAAGGTCAGAGAGGTAGGCAGGGGGACAGATGAGTAAGGCCCATGGACCAAGGTAAATTCTGGATTTTATTCTAAGGGCAATGGGAAACCATTAACAAAGGAGTGACATGGTCTGATTTGCATTTTCAAAACTTTTTTGGCTGTAGAACAGAGAATGAATTTGGAGGAGGAGGAGTAGTTCGGAAGCAAGCAGATCAGATGGAAAGAGATGGTGTTGGCTTGGATAGGGTGAAGAGAATGAAGGTGAAGAGAACCAGATGGACTTGGGATGTGCTTTGGAGATAGACCTGAAAAGTCTTGCCGATGGATTGGAGTGTGGAGGGAGAATGAAAAGCTGTGTATGTTGCTGTTGCTTTGGACCATGTGGATGCATTCAGTATGATTAATAGAAACCATTGGTGAGCAGTTTAAAGACTCATACTTATTAGGCAACACATTAATCTGAAAAGCAGGAGAATGTTTTATGAGGTGTTAAGAAGAGACTAGTGCCTGCTGTAAATATACCTTCCTTGATCAATCAGACTCGGATGGAAGTTATTAAGGATTATCATCTTCTATAAAACAATTACAAACATAACTCTTTTATTAGTAGTTGCACTAGGGACCAAATAATAAAATGTTAATAAAATTATCAGCCACTAAAGGATCTACTCTCGATAGATTTTTAAAAAATAAAAGATAGCTCAGAGTATCAAAAGGCTAGAGCTGGTTGAGAAACATGGGCGGTCAGGAAGAACAGGCATTGTTTACTTGACAGGGCAACTATACCGCATCAATGCATCAACGCATCAACGGAAGAGAGGATATTGTGTATCTAGCCTGTCTGGAGTGAACCTGTTGCTGTAGGCACCTCTATTCTCACATATCTCTCGTATTGTACTCACAAAGCAACATTCTGAACTTGGTTTGATTTCTCAAGTAGACTGTCTTGCTAGAAAAAATCTTTTTCTCTTAAAAATAACTCCATTACAAGTCAGTCTTTTTAGAGTATAAGCACCATGAGCCAGTTTCCCTAGGACCTGCTCACCTATAATTCATGGGATACCAAATCTCAGAATAGACAAAAGTAACAAGAACATTGTGATTTTTTCTGATCAGTCTAACATTCCATTCCCACATTGTCAAGGAACAAACACTGAAATAGATGAATGAAGGGTATTTTTTGTGTTCAGACTTAAATTCATACCCTTGCCTGTCTTTAGCACCTTCTCCAGCTCTGTGTACAGACTGCTGTTGACCCTTGAACAACACAAGGGTTAGGGGTGGTGACCCCCAAGCAGTGGAAAATCCATGTATAATTTATGGTAGGTCCTCCATATACACGGTTCCTCTGTATCCTTGGTTCGTCATTCTCAGATTCAACAACCATGAATCATGTACAACTGTAGTATTTACTATTGGAAAAAAATCTGCGTGTAAGTGGGCCTTCATGGTTCAAACCCATGTTGTTCAACAGTCAACTGTACATGTATCTGGGTCAACTGTTAGCTTCAACTATTAGGCAATCACCTTATTTTAAATGGAGTATATCTCTCATGAGGAAATCTGTCCTTTATTTCTAGCTTGTTTATATCTGTTTATATTTGTCCATATTTACAGCTAGCAGACAGCAGTGGTGTCTAGTTTTTAGTGCAGCATCAAAAGAACAAAAATTAAAAAACACCTGATACCATAGACCCTGGTTCCTTTCTGATTTTTTCTAGCTTTCCTGTTGCCATTCTAGTCTTCCCTGAATTACTACAGAATTCTCTCTCTCTCTCTCTCTCTTTTTTTTTAACATCTTTATTGGAGTATAATTGCTTTACAATGGTGTGTTAGTTTCTGCTTTATAACAAAGTGAATCAGCTATACATATACATTTATCCCCATATCTCTTCCGTCTTGCGTTCTCTCTCTCTCTTTTTTTTTCAGGAGTCTCTGAATTGTTCTCATGGTTCCCACTTCTCTGCACTCTTAAAATAGCCAAGGTGATCTTAAAAACTGCAGATCACTCCCATGCTTAAAACCCTTCAATGGACTTCTGGTTTACTTGGAATAAAGTCCAAACCCCTTAGTTAACAAGGCCCCACAACTTTCTCTACAACCTCATCTCCTACACTCTCCCCCTTGCTCACTCATCGTCAGCCATTTGGCCTCCTCTGTGATCCTAGAAGAGGCTTCCTTTCCTACTGTAGAGCCTTTGCATTGATGTTTCTTCTGCTGGGGTGCCCTGCTCTCCCCTAGCTCTGCACATGGCTGACCTCTCTCATCAATGAGGCTCAGCTCAAACATCACCTCTTTAGTGAGGCCTTCCTTGGCCCTTCCAAACCAAATCACCACCTCTCCCTTCTGTACTCTGTCACAGCATCTGCTTCATATTGTTCACAGCTCTTATTACTACCTGAAATTATTTTATTTGTTTACTTGTTTATTGACCATTTCTCCCACCAGTCTGTGTTTTCCAGAAAAACAGGGACCTTTTCTGTCATGTTCACCATAGTGACTCCACTGCCTGACACAAAGTAGACATTCAATAAATATCCTTATCATGAATGAATGGTTTCTTAACTAGTTCCACTGTTATTTACCTAAGCTGGGTCAGACACTTGACTCTGTGCTTTAGCTTCTCCAGCTTTAAGATGGTAACAAGAGATTATGCCATCTAACTCATTTTCAGCATGGAGGAGAAAAAGTGTTATCTTTATATCTGGAAATATTACTCCTGAATAATGTAATGCTATAAAACAAGTATGTAGGAGGTATAGTAGGTATACAATGAAAGTGTTCCTTACCTATTATCAGATAAGATTCTGGATTTTTAAAAAATAATTTCTTTCTCTATTCCCTTTGCTATTTCTAGAAAGTGACTGAGATATACCAGTTCAAATTCAAATACACAAAAGAAGGAGCCACTATGGATTTTGACAGGTAGAATCTAATTGTTTAATGAACATGAGAAATATGTAGGATTGAGGTAAACATAAGCTTCTTGAGGCCAGAGATAGGTCTTATACTTCCTTTGTAACTTCCCCAACAATCCCACAAAAACCACTATTATGAAAAGGGACTGTAAAAATTGTTTAAATTTCTGAAATCCATAGATGAAGCCAGTAGGAAAAGAGGCTTCCTTTGCTTCTTTCCTTCTTCTCCTATAGGTGATATTAGTAGGGTCTAAAGGCAATTTAGTGGTTAAGAGTTCTAATTCCTAAGGCAGAAAGATCTAGCTTGGAACCCCAGCTCTGACTATTACTGGTCATTTAACTTTGGACAGAATAATAAACCTCCCTAAATATTAGTATTCTTATCTGCAGAGTGGAATTAATAATATCTACTTCATATGGTTGCTGTGATTATTAAATTATAACGCATATACAAAGCTTTACCCATGCCTGGCACATAATAAACACACAGTAAATTGTACCTAGTGGTGGGGATGGTGGTGGTCTTTGGAGGCAATGGTGGTTGGTGGGTGGCACAGCAGTAGAAATTATATTAATGAGGCTGTCTATGTGGTGTTGATTGAAGAACTCCATGAGGCTCTATCTAGCCACTAATTCAAAGTTTCTCAATTGCTATGCCAAGATATTAACCCTTTCTACCCTCAATATAGCCAGATCAGGACTGGGGTAGATGAAACCCCTGCACTATTTACCTATAGACACAAATATTCTCATCTGTTTACCCCAGTATGTCATACAAATATAATTATCTATGTGTCCCTGTATGGAAAAGACTGGAAAGCACTGCATTTTCCTATCAAGTCTGAAATTCCAAGTTTTAGATATACTAATGGGTTAAATAGCAAGGACAAGGACATTTACTTCAGAAGGTCCTTAGTAAAGATGGAGATGTTTTGTTGAGGAGCAACATTTATTCCCCTCCCAGTAGCTTTTGGATTCAGATAGAGCTAAGTATTGCTGATGAGACGGAACAGAAGTGGGGAGGGTGGATGATGGAGAAAAACCTTGGGTGGTAGAAAGCTGCACCTCAGGGGGATGAGTTTCTCTGAAAGGAGTAACACTGAAGAGAAATGTGGCCTAATTCTCAATTTTCCATACTATTAGCTCTGTCTCATCATTTATTATTACAAGTTTAATGATTTCTCTCCAAGATTCACACCCTTAATTATCTTCTCATTTGTAAAATATACGGACAGCATTAGGATGTGAAGTGGAAGTAAGTTCTAGGAACAAGAATTAAGGTACTAACCATCATTAGCTAACATCTGTATAACACTTTACAGATTGTTCAGCACTTTTCACACATATTCTCTCACATAAAACAGCTGCCTTTTACTCTCTGTACAACTGACAAGCAGATTAATCTCTTTTGTTACGAAGGCACATATGTCTAGAGGTGAACAGTAAAACATAAGTGGCCGAATCTGGGACTTCCCTGGTGGTCCAGTGGTTAAGACTCCGTGCTCCCAATGCAGGGGGACCGGGTTCGATCCCTGGTCAGGGAACTAGATCCCACATGCCGCAACTAAAAGTTCTCTCACACCCCAACGAAGATCCCGCGTGCTGCAACTAAGGCCCGGCAGAGCCAAATAAATAAATAAATATTTTTAAAAAGAAAAAAGAAGAAATGGTCAAATCTTTTACTAAAGGGAAGAGAAGGTAATGCATACATGACCAAAGGTGGGCATTTGTTCAAGTGATTGTTCACACAAAATTACCTTATCACCTCTTCTATAGTAAAGAAAATTTTCCTTTTAAAAGAGTACAAGGGAGTCTTGAAAATGATTTTACATGAGTATGATTTTATGAATATGGTGTATACTGAAGGATCCCATGTGCTACATGGCAATAGCCCCTCCCTCTCATTACCTATTTCAAATTTGGTTAAATCCTGGTAGACAAAACTTTAAGTTTTTCAAAACTGAAAAAGGAGCAAATGTGATTCCTTAATGTTTGTTTTATGAATTCACACTATCTCTAGTAGTTCAATTACTAAGGATTATTTTTCAGTATTGAGAAAGGCATTGTAAAAATATATTGCAGTCATAGTCCTTGGAAACTACTCAAATGTGAGACTAATTGGGGAAAAAATTTTGGAGAGAAATAAAAAATGTTTAGAGTTGGAAGGTAATTTAGTCCAACTTGTCCATTCATTCATTAATACAACAAATGTTTATTGAGTACTTAATATAGTTGGGCACTAAACTTAGTACAGTGGAGATGAAAAATATAGCCATTCATAGTCTAGAGGGGACATACAGTTACAAACAGGGGTGAGGTATAGGGATTACCAGGGAAGACTTCCCTGAAGAGATGACACATGAGATGGGTATTAAAGGATTAATTCGGTAGAGTCAGGAAAAGAAGTGGGAAAAGCACAGTACAAGCAAAGTGAACAGCACATACAAATGCACAGGAGTAAGAAGGAACTGGGTAGTAGCTGCAGATGAAGGTGGAGGTGAGTGTGTGGTTGGTTGTGAAAGGCATTGTACACACACTGTTCTCAAATTTGATTGAAAGGTGATGGATATAATAGAAGAAACTTAAGCAAGAGAATGACATGAGTGGATTTTCCTATTAGGATATTATTTTGGTAGTAGTGTGGAGAATGTTTTGCAGTGTGGGCAAGAAGAAAAGCAGGAAGAATAGTCAGTCATTGTCATAATCCATGTAAGAGTGAGAAGGGGATGCCTCTGAGAGATAACCAGATGGTACAAAGGCCCAGAGCTGATGATTGATTTAACTTGGAGAGGTATAGAAATGTGTGTAAACTTATCTCACATAGGAGCTAACTGACATAGAGTGTCTAAGTGACTTGACCGGGGTCATTCAGCCAGTTAGCAGCAGAGCCAATATTAAATGTCAAGTCCATTGTTCTCACTATTATAGTATGCAGTTATTCGTAAATCAGATTTTTAAAAAATCAGGTCACATTGAAAATGTCTTAAAGGGAACTTGCTACTTAAGAAATCCTTTGTATATACATTGCAAAAAGTACAATAACTCCTCTAATTTACATTCTAAAATAGTCTCAAGAGTGTCCTGAGTTTATATTTATCTGATCATATAGTAAAAAGTTTTGTTCTTTTTAAAATAGATTTTCAGTATTATATGTGATTGAAAAGTATGCTGTTTTTCTATGTGGTTATAGCAGTAGCACAACCTTCGAAAGTGGGACAAACAGTGAAGATGTTAAGAAAGCCAGTGTTCTACTGATGCGTAAATTGTACATGATGATGCAGAACCTTGGACCCCTTCCTAATGATGTTATACTTACTATGAAACTCCACTACTATAATGCAGGTAGGTGGAGACCTCTAGTCAAATTCCTTCTTCAGTGGTGAAGTAAATGTTTTGGATAAATAGAAGGATTTTGGCAAGCATTTGAAAGAGATGTCTGTTGTTACACATGAAAGATTATGCTGACTTGTTCTCCTGAAACTCAACAGTTTTCTTGGTTTTCTGCCCTTTTCATTTTGCAGTGACCCCACATAACTACCATCCCCCTGGTTTTAAAGAAGGGGTAAACTCACACTTCCTGCTGTTCGAGGGGAAGCCTGTAAACCTGCAAGCGGGATTGGTCTCCACTGGCTTTCATAGCATGAAATTAAAAGTCACAACTGAGGCCACCAGAGTGTCTGATTTGGAGAACAGAGTCTTTCAGGAGAGCAGCACTACAGAGATCGCCCATCAGGGTCTAGACTGTGATGAAGAGGAAGAGGAAGAGGAATGCAACAATCACGTAAGGCAAAGCTGTAGCGACCGTCCATTGCTTCAGTTAAACCCAGTTGACATTTTTCAGTTCATACACAGGTCATATCATAGTAACAGGATCCAATGGAGTGTGCTGGGTGTAAAAACTGAAACAAAACTAGCCCCTAACCTCGAGTCTTTATTCTAAAAAAGCTATTCTAAAAAAACTATCTTTGAGAAGGAAATATACTCTGTTAGATTAAGTGGTCCATGCCTAGGAGAAAAAAAAGACTTTCTAATATACTTCTTTTTATAAAAGGTACCCATGAATTTAGGAAATTTTGGATTTTCTATAACTTATAAGAGCATATTAAACATATTTTAAAATATTATAGGTGTTTATTCATACTCACTGCAAGTATAAGTAAGTTCTTGATTACTGGGGTAGAAAATTGTTATGGATAAACCTAAGTCAGAGTGCATTCATTTTCACTGCTGTAGATTATTCTACTCTTGACAGACATTCTTTCTTCCTCTGCAATTGTTATAAACATTCATGTATACACCTCCTCGTACACATATGCAAGAGTGTCTCCAGGGAATATACCAAAGAGTTCTAGGGCTTGCACATTTTCAACTTTATTAGGTAATGAAAAACTGTTCTCTAAAATGGTTGTACCAATTTATGCTCCACCAAAAGTGGAGGGAGTGCTGTACATTATTGTCAATACTTTTTTTTTTTAAGTAATACTTTAAATTTTATTTATTTATTTAGTTAGTTATTTATGGCTGCATTGGGTCTTTGTTGCTGCGCGCGGGCTTTCTCTAGTTGCAGCGAGCGGGGCTACTCTTTGCTGGTGCGCGGGCTTCTCATTGCGGTGGCTTCTCTTGTTGGGAAGCACAGGCTATAGACACGCGGGTTCAGTAGTTGTGGCTTGCGAGCTCTAGAGCGCAGGCTTAGTAGTTGTGGCGCATGGGCTTAGTTGCTCTGTGGCATGTGGGATTTTCGCAGACCAGGGCTCGAACCCATGTCCCCTGCATTGACAGGCAGATTCTTAACCACTGCGCCACCAGGGAAGTCCCCTTGTCAATACTTAATTTTACCCAAGTTTATGTTTTCTGCCTAACTCCTGGATGTAAATGGTAATGCTTCATGATTTGATTTTGATTTGCATTTCCCTGATTATTAATGAGTTTAAGCATCTTTTCATGTATATTGGCTGTTCTGGTTTTCTTATGTATAAAGTAACTGTTCAAGTCTTTCATGCATTTTTCTATTGGATTATTTATCTTTTCCTCATTGATTTAAAAATATGTTCTGAATAGTAATTATTTTTCATTATTTATGTTGCAATTTTTTTTCAGGTTTGTGGCTTGTTTCTTCACTTTCTTTAAGATGTTTTTTGCTAAAGAGAAGTTCTTAATTTTTTTTTTTTGAGAGGTTCTTAATTTTAATGTAGTCAATTCTTTTCCTCTAATATGTGCTTTTGGATATTAAGAAATTCTTCCTTATCTGAGTTCATTTTTAATATTCTCCTCTATTTTGTTATAAAAAATTTAAGGTTTTTCTTTTTACATTTTTATTCCACTTGGAGTTTATTTTTATTTGTGGGGTAAGGTAAACCAGACCCCTTTTACATTTTAAAATCCAAGTATAATATACATACAGAAAAATACATATATCATAGTGATACAGCTCAATAAATATTCACAAACTGAACACCAGGGCTGGGATGAGAGTGAGGCAAACAAGGTAAGAGTGAGTACCACCTTAAAACTTCCTAGGTATCTTGTTTGCCTCACCCCATTCCAGCCCTAATGAATACACATGTGAAATCAGCACCCAGATCAAGAAACAAAATACTACCAGCACCTTGAGAAAACTCAGTCTTACTTTGCAGTCACTGTTCTACTCAACAGGAGTATCTCTATCCTGGCTTCTATTAGCATAGATTAGTTTCTCTTGTTTTTTATTTTATAGATGTGGAATCATGGAGTATGAAACATTTTTTCACTGCTTTGAACATTCCGAACATGTTTTTTAGTGAAATATATACACATTTCTGGAGGGAATAGATTTACTAGGAGTAGAATTGCTGGGTCACAGGATATGAGTACATTTAGCTTCAATAGATACTACAAAACAATTTCCAAAGTGCTTGTGCCAATTTACACTTCCATCAGCAAGTTTTGGTTGCTCCACATCCTCATCAACTGTTGGCATTTTCCATCTTTTTAATTTTAGCCATTCTGGTGGGTGTGTAGTGGTAGGTCATTGTGGTTTTAATTTGTAGTTTCCTGATGACTAATGAAGATGAGCACATTTTCACATGTTTATTGGCCATGTTGGATGTCCTCTTTCGTGAAATGTCTTTTCAAGTCATTTGTCATTTTTCTATTGGGTTCTATTGGGTTTGTCTTTCATTCTTATGGATTTGTAGGAGTTCTGAATATATATTCCACATATAAGTCCTTTGTCAGATACATGTATTGTGAATATCTCTTCAACTTTCTAACTTGCCTTTTTACTCTCTTAACGGTGTATTGTGATGAACAGAATATTAATTTTAATATAGTTCAACTTATCAATCTTTTCGGCTATCTTCGGCAGTTTTTATTTAAAAATTTTTATCCACTCTAAAGTTTACAGAGATGTACTCTATGTTTTTCTCTAACAAGGAGAAATAGCTGCAGAAACAGAAGTGATTTTTTAAATTATAAGATACCTCCATGAATAACATCATACCAAAAATATAAATAACTGACCTTTCTCTCCCCTATCTTCAAGTATTTATATATTTTGGTATGACGTTATTCATGGAGGTCTCATAATTTTAAAAATTGCTTCGGCTTCTGTAGTTATTTCCCTGTTTTTATATCTGGTATTTATTTGTGCCCCATTCATTTTTCTTGGTTAGATTGGCCCCAAATCAGTATTTTTTATTACTCTTTTCAAAGTCATCTTTTTTTCTTTTTTTTTTTTTTTTTTGCGGTACGCGGGCCTCTCACTGTTGTGGCCTCTCCCGCTGCGGAGCACAGGCTCCGGACGCGCAGGCCCAGCGGCCATGGCTCACGGGCCCAGCCGCTCCGCGGCATGTGGGATCCTCCCGGACCGGGGCAAGAACCCGTGTCCCCTGCATCGGCAGGCGGACTCTCAACCACTGCGCCACCAGGGAAGCCCTCAAAGTCATCTTTTAGTTGTGCTGATCTCTTCTGTTGCTTTGTTTTTCTATTTTGCTCATGTTTTGTTTTTATCTTTGCCTTCTTCTATTTCTCTGGTTTGGTTTTGTCTCCCTTATTCCAAACTGATCTCTCCATCAATATATAGACATATATATTCTACGAGTACCTCGAATTCAGTATCAAATGGAATTTCAACTTCTTACCAAACATGCTCTTCTTCCTCCCAGGTTCCTTATCTTTGTATTTCATTAAAACTTTACCAAGCAGCCTGACCAGGAATGTGTTCAACTCCTATTTTCTTCTCACTTTTCACAGTCTTTTGGTTGCCATTTCTGTCTGTTTTGTATCTGAAATACTTCTCCAGTCTGGCCCTATTGCCATTGTACTGATTCAGGCTGTCATCATTGCTTTCTTGGTGAAGGACAGCTGAGCCTCCTAACTGAGTCTCCCTGATGTCAGCATTGCCCCTCTAATTTGTCTTCCAGAGTGCCAGAGAGTGAGGGTACTAAAACTATGATGATCATTTTCAAATATTTCAAGTTGATTTATTTTGTGTAATTTCAAAGGTCAGAATGAGAGCCAGAAAATGAAAATTACATTGGCTGGGTGAGGTGTGCAGAGGTTGATTTTGGCTCAAGAGAAGGAAGAACTTTCTCTTAAAAAAACTTTTAAAGCAATATCATAATGATATTAAAGTAATTTAAAAAGCAGTGCAAATCTTCCAGCTGTCCTACCATCCCATCCCATCACTACTCTTTTCTTTCCTTTTTTTTTTTTTTTTTTTTGGCCACACCACGGCATGGGGGGTCTTAGTTCCCCAACCAGGGATCAAATTTGTGCCCCCTGCAGTGGAAGCACAGAGTCTTAACCGCTGGACTGCCAGGGAAATCCCTGTTTTCATTTTTATATTTTCCATCCCATCTAGTCTTTTTCCACAGATATACATATTTATACATGATTTTAATCATGGTATAAATATAAATTTGTTTTATTGATAATTTTATACTTAATATTAATTTTATAGCTATGTCCTACCTTACTCTTCATATTTTTAATTTTAATGAACTTTTTTTTCCATTTAGGTATTATACCATTTTCCTACATTAAATATTTAAGTTAATTCCTGATTTTACTACTATAAATGGTGTTGTAATAAATACCTTTGTATGTATGGCAGAATTTTCCCTTATTTTCTAAGGGTATAGTATCAGCAGTGAAATTTACAGAGCCTGAAAATTTGTATAGCTCTCAAATGAGTATTATCATTTTCCAGAAGCTTCCAGCTTCTCTACCTCCTCAGGATGGATTTTCTAAAAAAGACAACTACTTGATAAAACTGACTGTCTTGAGAAGGGTGAATGCTTTTCGACAGCTGTGTTCAAGTACAGGTATATACTATGTTCAAGATAGAGTACAGATGATTGTCTCTAGGGTGTTGCAAGAGAAAATCATGATTTAGGGGGAAGGTTGAACTAGACTGACCTCTGAGGTCCCTTCCATGCTAAGATTCCCTGGGTTATATTTTGAATTCCTATTAAGAGAATAATGCCCTACTAAGCACTGTGAGGAAAATTAAGACATATAAAATATAGTTTCTACCTTTGAGAACTCTAGCTGAAGAGACAATATCTACATGATATAAAGAAAAATAATACTGGAGAGTATATGAATGATAGAAATAATATTAACTAACAATACTGAGCATGATACTCAGGGCTTCACATGTATTATCACTTTAAATCTTCCCAGCTATTTTATGAGGTAGATTCTATTATTATCCTGATTTTACAAAGGAGAAAACTGAAACTTAGAGAAATTTGCCCAAGGCTACAGATACAGTGAATAAGTAGCAGTGCCAGAATTCAA